CAGGTTCGGGACGAGCCAAGGCTTCCCTGTCCTACCGAGGTGGTGCCGCGGGCAGGTTCGAGACGCCCCCGTGCCATCGGGAGGCAGAACTCTCGGCTTGCTGAACCGCGGCGGTCTCTAGGAGATCTCGGAGCTCGCCGCGGACCCGCCGCCCCTCCGCGGTAGAAGGCTCGGGCATTGCGCGAACCAGCATCACCACAGCCACGACGTTCTGGCTAGCGTGATTAAAGATCGAGGGTTGTTCACTCCCTTCGTCGTTATGGATGCGGTGATGCACGTCGAGGGCCCTCCGTCGGGCTCCCCCGCCTTCGCCGTGACCTCGCTGTTCCTGTTCGAGAGAGTCTCTAAGCTGCTGCATAAGGAGTTGGTCTTGCTCGACCTTGGCCTGGAGCTCATGGAGCTGTTCTAGGTCTGGGCGCTGAGGTCGCGCAAGAGCGACGTTCTCATTTCGTGCGGCCGGCAGGGCGGCGCGTGGAGGTGTAGCGACGCCCGCGCCGGGGCGGAGTGGGGAACGGCTACCTGTCCCCTCGTCGTCTTCGCCCGCCCTCGGCATCCTGAGCCCGACATGAAAACATTCGCGAGTGGGGTCATAGGTGCCTTCGTCGTCGGTCGGATGGCCAAAGCGATGATCGCTTACTGCGGCCAGAATTGGCGCAAAGCCCCAGGGTTGTGGAGTTCGGAGAAATCCACCCCGGGCCATGCCTCGTCCTCGTCCGAGGAGTCGGAGTGGGTGCTCAGGCCGAGAGCGAAGCGCTGGCGGCGTTCCGAGGGGTGCTCGTGAGCGGCAGTGTAAGCGTAGGCATAAGAGGCGGCGGCATTTCTCAACCCAAAGGGGTATGGGGACGGTGCCGTCTCCAGATTCTGCTCCGCCGGGGTCGGCTCTTCAGGGAGTGGTGGAGAGGAGCTGGATGACTGGGCATCGCCGCGTGCCATAGGCAAGTCTCCTTTGTCCAAGCTCAGGCTAGACAGGTCCCCAGCCAGGGACCCTATGCCAACAGCTGGTCGTAGGATATCGGCGGGGGGTGGCGTGTCGCCCTGGATTCGCGTAGCGTCGGGGTGGCCTTGTTCGTGCCGTGCTTGGCGGCCTTGGCGCGAGCGCTTCGCCGGACGCCGCCCCACCCTAGGCTGCTGGGGCGTAACTTCATCGTTGGTTGGTGGGGCTCGAGGAGTGAGGGGCACCATGTCGTACTCATGCCCTAGAGACATGAACTCTAGGCTCCCGAACCAAACCACGGTGCTGAGACGCAATGGTCGTACTGAGTGCGCCATCCGGAACCTCTTTGGGATAATGAAACCAACACTGTCGGTGTTTGGACCGGGGGGTCCCTCAACCGACTAGTGAATTTGTTCTGCGTGCTCCCGATTCCGGATGGTGATGCAAAGAGACACAAGGTTTATCTTGGTTCGAACAATCGAGGCCCTACGTCCGGTCGAGAGATCGATCTTGTATTCCTTGCACCGAGGTGCTTTCGTAGTAGGGGTTACAAGATAAAGGAGAGAGGGAGCTGGTCCCGGTCTTGGCGAGGCGTCGTCACGGGCCACTTGAGATGTTGCTCTCGGTGGCGGGGATGTGTGTGTGTGTGTGTGTGTGTGTTACAAGGTTTTTTCCAGCCCCCCTAAGTGGCCCAAGTCCTCTCCTTTTATAGTTGAAGGGAGGACAAGGACCGTACATGTATTACTATCTTGCGTCGTGCCAATAGGGGTGGTACGTCCAGCCTGTGGCCTGTCCCTATGGTGGCGTGGTCGTCGGAGTGGTCCATCCTTGGAGTCTTTGGGGGGGCGTGGTCGTCCCATCGAGATCACTGTCGTCGTGGGGGAGCCCAGGGAATGCCTCGGAGTGGGCGGCAAGCGACGTGCGTGCAAGCCTTTGTGGACGGACGGTTGTGCGTGAGGCCAAGACTTGGTCGATCTGAGGCGGCACTTGTGGTGGGGGGTGTCGGCGAGCACGAACCCCAAGATCGCCGAGGCCCGGTGTATGCATCTTAGAGGCCTTGAGCGGGCGGCCGATCATGGATCTGACGTTTGGACACAATGGTCGGTAATCCCGTCGTACCTGTCCCGGCCGGTATGGCGCTGATCGTGAACACAGTGGTAGGACCACGGTGGCGGTAATCCCGTCGTGCCTGTCTCGGCGGCGGTATGGCGCTGATCGTGGACCACGATGGCGGTAATCCTCGTCGTGCTCTGCCGGTCCGGCGGTATGTATGCTGATCACGACCTCGGTCGCGTCGGCCATCTGTGGCATTGAGCCACCGTCCGGCTGAGATTACGGGAGTGGTTGAGGCATTAATGAGACATGACGAGTTGTCGGGAGGGTCGACCGAGGTGAGGGGCGACGGACCGCGGACGAGCCGGCCTCGAGCGACACGGAGAATGAGGCCTCGCGCGAGACGGAGATCAGGTTCCTTGCCGAGGCCTTGCGCGAGACGCCTCGCGCGATATGGAGAATGTACCCCTGCCGAGGCCTTCCCTGGAGAGCCTCGGGTGAGACGGAGACGGCGCCCCCTGCCGAGGCTCGGCGCCCCCTGCCGAGGCCTACCCTGGGGAGCCTTGCGCGAGGCGGAGTTTGTTCCGAGACCTCCTGCTCGAGGCTCGAGGCGAGGTGGAGGAGGGCTCGGTCGTGGAAGGTGAGGGGCCCACGGCTTACCTTCTAGCTTTATTTTGATGTTTGCTTGGGGTACCCCGTTCTAAGGTACCCGACACGTCCCAACCATGCTTAGGGAAAAAAATTAAAGAATGCTTTCAAACGTTGAGTTAGACATGAAAACCTTGAGTAGTTGACCTGAAGTGTTCTTAAATATGTGTTTCCAGGAATTGTTTCCAGGAATTGAACCGACCACCTCAAGTTTCTAACTGAAGTATCCATATCATCTCAGCTACACAACTTTTGTGGCTATGCAACTGATGCTATTCTTTTAACTTCACACTTAGGAATATTTTACTGCATATTTGACACTCTAAACGATCTCAAATGTAAAAGTTGATAACTACAAAGTTGTAGATCTCATCGAGTAATACAATTTTGACGTAGATCTTGTCTCCATCGGAGATTATTTAATAGGTTTGAGAACTTATATTAAATATTTAAATATCTAAACTATCTCATCAAGTAATATTTGGCGTAGATCTTGTCTCCATTAGAGATTGTTTAATAGGTCATGAGAACTTATATTAAATATTTGGATATCTAAACTATCTCAAATGAAAAAGTGGTCAACTATAAAATTTTAGATCTATTTAGCTCTATAATTTTGATATAACGCTTATCTTCATTGACATAATACGAACAAGTTAATAATTTTTTGGTGCATACCGGTGGGTTTTCACCGTCGGTTATAGCCATGAATTATCAGTGATCTATCATTGTCGGTTAGTGCTATCACTGCTGGTTGTAGCCACGAACCGGCAGTGATACACTATCACTATCAACCGGCAGTGATAGTGGCGGCAGTGATATATATTTATGTAGTAGTGGAAATCCTAACTGATTGCATATCAATCATTGTAGCATAGCAGCCCCAAACCAAGCCTACAAAGAAATAAGAGCATGGCTAATAATATAGTCAGTTGTTGTCTATATACAGTTGCCATGTCATCTAGAGCTAATGAAATAGCTAGCTTATATAATAGGTTGGCTATTAGGTTTGCTAAGAGGTTGGTTGCATTAAAGATTTAAGTATATAATATTGGCGTGTACATATGATCAACTGTGATCTACATCTCTATTGCCATTTCAACAAACATCGTATGAAAACCATGTGGGACATACCAAATAGATTATTAATAGCATAATACACCATCAGGATATACCAAAATGGATTAACAACATAGAGGTGTTTTACAATGGTTGGAAAAGCACCATGGTACTTTCAGGTACTTTCATTTTTTTCATTTATCTAGCATTTAATTGAGTAAGCTTATTTATAAAATTTAAATTTTATTCTTGAGGGTATATTAGTCTATGAGCTATTGTTGGGAGAGGAAGAAGTGCCAACCCCAAGCCGCGCCGCCATCTAGAGGTTTCTCATGGCGGAGAGAGGGAGAAGAGTAGGTGCGCTGCAGGCCCATGGCGCAGGGCGCTGCAGGCCCATGTATTGCGAGGCCAAAGATGAGGCTAGGAAGGAGTGGCTCGCGGCAGCTATCCGGAGGTGGTGAGCGTCGCGGCCAAGAACGATGGCGACGGTGTCCATGCCACAAGCTCCACGGATAGCGCATCGAGGTTGCTCTGGATCTACAGGATGCTCATGGTAGCGTGCACCGAGCTCAGCGTTCTTGGCTATAGTGTTACAGCAACCGACGACAGTAGCTCCTGACAGAGCGAGTTCTTTGAGAGGCAGGTGTGGCTATACATGTTCAACAAGCACGGCGGCACCCTCTCCAGCCTCGCCGCGATGGCCTTCCACTACTCGCCAAAGCTGGTCTTTGTTGCATAAGCATCCTATAATCATGTCAAATATGTATCTTGCATGTAGTTGCATTAGCTAGTTGTTTTGGTTTTGTTACAAAACATTTTGTAATTGCGTAGAATAACAGGTGGGACGGAGACTGCACATCGCCAAGCCGTGACCGCGTCTTCAGGGCTGACTCCCGCCATGGCGTGCATGCCGCGCATGTCGCACGGTCACCCGAGGAAAATGGGACACTGTGTAGCTGCACATTGTGGCAGGGGATGCAGATCAAGCCCGTGATATAGTCCAAGCAATGCATCAAAGAAGCTGCGCTAGTTGTAGTGGAAAACTCTCTCTCTCTCTCTCTCTCTCTCTCTCTCTCTCTCTCGTGTGTCTGTGTGTGTGTGTTCGTCGTTCTCGCTATCGTGTTCGCGGTTATCGCGCTCTAAGCATCGCGGAGCGCCGGTGGGTTCCTAGCATCGACGGTGATCGTCGGCCCTAACAATATGGTATCAGAGCTGGCTAATGTTCTATAGCGGTTCCATTAGCCCACCGAGATCACCTGCATTGAAGAAGTTCAAGCCAAATCCAAGGAGGTAGCCAGAGAAGAAGATGGGTGATGGCACGTCATCGAGTGCGCTCCCTGGCGGCGTGAGGGAGAGCTCGTTGATGTGGCTGATGCTAACGCGCACCAACTACTCCGAGTGGGCAATGTTGATGCAGGTGAATTATGAAGCGATGGAGATATGGGAGACGATTGATCCAGGCACCAACGTGAAGCGATCTCAAGTTCAACAGGCGATGGGGGTGCTCTTACGTTCTGTCCTGAAGGAGATGTGGGCGACGCCGGGGGGCCACAAGACCGTCAAGGAGGCGTGGGAGGTGGTGCAGACGATGCGTCTTGGTGCCCATCGCGTGAAGGACATCAACGCCCAGAAGTTGTTGAAGGAATTCGAGAATATCAGGTTCAAGGAGGGCGAGTCGATCGACGACATTGGCATGCGAATCACCAACCTCATCGCCAACCTCTAGACGCTTGGGGAGATGGTGGATGACACCTGCGTTGTCAAGAAATTTCTTCGCGTGGTGCCTCCTCGTTTCACCCAAGTGGTTGTCTCCATCGAGATGTTCTGTGATCTGAAAAGATGACGGTGGAGGAGCTGGTGGGGCACCTGCGTGCGGCGGAGGACCGACTCGACGACAAGGTCGAGCAGATCATCGACAAAACAGGGCATCTCCTACTCGCCAAAGAGGACTAGCTTGAGAAACACAAGCATCGTTTCCAAGCTGGTTCAAAGGAGGGAGGCGGTGGTGCTGGTGGAAGCCATTCGAAGGGCAAGACGGTGGCGCGCTCAGATGGCGACGGCTCAGGAGCAGTCAAACTAACCTCCAAGGGCACGCCAAGGCGAAAGGGGGCACTATCATAACTGTGGCATATATGGCCATTGGGCGTAGGATTGTAAGCGCCCAAAGAAGGAGAAGAAGGAAGCCAAGCAGCCAGAGACGAACGTGGCTGTGGGCGGCGCGGAGCGGCCAGCGTTGATGCTGGCGACATGCGATGTCGACGTCATGCGTGGGCCAACATAGATCGTCCACCTGGTGGAGAAGGTGATCCCGGTAGATGTTCCCGACGGCGTGTGGGTGCTCAAGACCGACGCAAGTAACCACATGACCGGAACAAGGTCGGCGCTGACATAGCTCAACGACGGTGTCCGTGGTACGGTGCATTTCGGTGACGGGTCCCATGTCAAGATCCATGGCATTGGCTCCGTGGTGATGCAAGATCACCATCATGAACACAAGGTATTAACTGACGTCTACTACATTCCAAAACTGAGAAGCAATATTATTAGTTTGGGTCAGTTAGAAGAGAAGGGTTTTGAGGTTTCTCTAAAGAATGGAAAATTGTGTGTGTTTGATCAAGAGCATTCTCTTTTAATCTCTGCTCCAAGAAATGCTAATAGGCTATACACTGTTAAGTTTGGATTGGTTCCCCCAGTTTGCTTACTTGCACAGTCTGATGATGAGTCATGGCGTTGACATGCTAGATTTGGGCATCTGAATTTTAGAGCTTTGCATGATCTTAGTGCCAAGAACATGGTAGAAGGTATGCCAACTGTTAAAAGAGTGGAGAAAGTTTGTGATGGGTGTGCTCTTGGGAAACAGCATAGAACACCTTTTCCACAAGTGTCAAGTTATAGAGCAGAGAAGGGATTAGAACTTGTGCATGCAGACTTGTGTGGGCATATTACTCCCAAGACTCTAGGGGGTGCCTCATACTTCTTGCTGGTGGTGGATGATCACAGCAGATATATGTGGGTGGAAATGCTCAAGACAAAAGATCAGGCTCTAGATTGTTTCAAGAAAATCAAACTAAGCGCTGAAATGGAATCTGGTGGCAAGTTGAAGGCCCTGAGAACATATAGAGGGGGAGAGTTTACTTCTAATCCTTTCTCAATTTTCTGCAGTGAAGGTGGGATTAAGCACTACACCACCACCCGTTATTCTCCCCAGCAGAATGGAGTGGTAGAATGTCGAAATCAAACAGTTGTTGAAATGGCTAGGTGTATGCTGAAAACAATGAAGGTTCCATCTGTTTTTTGGGGTGAGGCAGTCTGTACTGCTGTTTATGTGCTGAACAGGTCATCTACCAAGAGCCTGAACAGCAAGACCCCATTGGAAGCTTGGCATGGAAGAAAACCAAGAGTTAGCCACCTAAAAACTTTTCGTTGTGTTGCTCATGTGAAATTGGTTGGTCCAGGTCTGAGTAAACTATCTGACAGATCCACTAAAATGATGTTCAACACATATGTATCGTGCAATATAGTTGCATTAGCTAGTTGTTTTGGTTTTGTTACAAAACATTTTGTAATTGCGTAGAATCGCGGGTGGGACGGAGACTGCACATCACCACACTGTGACCACGTCTTCAGGGCTGACTCCCGCCATGGCGTGCACGCCGCGCATGTCGCACGGGCACCCGAGGAAAATGGGGCACTGTGCAGCTGCACGTTGTGGCAGGGGATGCAGATCGAGCCCGTGATATAGTCCAAGCAATGCATCAAAGAAGCTGCGCTAGTTGCAGTGGAAAACTCTCTCTCTCTCTTTCTCTCTCTCTCTCTCTCTCTCTCGTGTGTGTGTGTGTGTTCGTCATTCTCGCTATCGTGTTCGCGGTTATCGCGCTCTAAGCATCGCGGAGCGCCTGTGGGTTCCTAGCGTCGGCAGTGATCGCCGGCCCTAACAATCTGGTATCAGAGCTGGTTAATGTTCTATAGAGGTTCCATTAGCCCACCGAGATCACCTGCATTGAAGAAGTTCAAGCCAAATCCAAGGAGGCAGCCAGAGAAGAAGATGGGCGACGGCACGTCATCGAGTGCGCTCCCCGACGGCGTGAGGGAGAGCTCGTTGATGTGGCTGATGCTAACGTGCACCAACTACTCCTAGTGGGCAATGTTGATGCAGGTGAATTATGAAGCGATGGAGATATGGGAGACGATTGATCCATGCACCAACGTCAAGCGATCTCAAGATCGACAGGCGATGGGGGTGCTCCTGCCTTCTATCCCGAAGGAGATGTGGGCGACACCGGGGGGGGCACAAGACCGTCAAGGATGCGTGGGAGGTGGTGCAGACGATGCGTCTTGGTGCCGATCGCATGAAGGACGTTAACGCCCAGAAGCTGTTGAAGGAATTTGAGAATATCAGATTCAAGGAGGGCGAGTCGATCGACGATTTCGGCATGCGAATCACCAACGTCGTCGCCAACCTCTAGACGCTCGGGGAGACGGTGGATGACACCTGCGTGGTCAAGAAATTTCTCCGCATGGTGCCTCCTCGTTTCACCCAGGTGGTGGTCTCCATCGAGATGTTCTGCGATCTGAAGAAGATGACACAAAGCATATTCAGCAACAAGTTCTATGCCACATGAATTACAGAATTAGGAACCTATTCTGTCACAGCATGAACAGTTCAAACTACAAGCCTACGTGCTTTTCATTGAAAGGATCTAAATCAATCCCTAAGGATCACTAATTTAGAAAAAAAAACACCTCACCAAAAATCAATTCAAGATGTTTAAACTATAGATACACTACTACAACCACTATTTATAGAGACGGCCGTAGAGGGTTTGTAGAGACAACTGGCCTTTACCTATACGTCTCTAGAAATCAATGATTTTTATATTTGTAGAGACGGTTCTAGATGGTTTGTAACCTATAGGTCTCTAGAAATCAATGATTTTTACATGAGGCTATTCAGCCGCCTCCGCTCCAAGAAATCGATATTTAGAGGCAGCTGGGAACTGAGCCGCCCCTACAGATCAATTTCTAGGGGTGGCTAGAAACCCAGCCGCCTCTAAAGATGGTTTTCCATAATTTATAATCTAGCTCTAAAAAATAGCAATTTTTTAATCCCACCTAAGCACCCCTAGGCTACCCGCACGTCCCAAGTCACAAGTCAATCATTTTTCGCGCGAAACATGCACGCGTGTGGCCGCGGGGGACCGAACCCACGACCTATGGCCTCACGCGAGCCAACCCACGACCTGTGGCCCCGCCCGAGCCTTCTCTAACCACTCCACCCCAAAGTCATTGATGACTAAGTAGATGATACTTTCGTTTTGTATTAATTTTGCTAGATATTGTAATAAATATTTGAGACTCTAAACGAATTTAAATGAAAAAAGTTTCAACTACAAAATTGTATATTGTTTTGGTCATTTCTCCATCCGATGTCGTTTGAAAATTTCAAAAAAATGAATTTTAAAGTATGAAATTCAAATTAAACTTGCGGGCACTGAATGATTTTAAATGAAAAAGTCATCAATTATCGAGAGCTACAACTTTGATATAAATTTTTTTCTTTATCCGCCTTCATTTGAAAAGGTTATGAATTTTACTGTGATGCACCTATTTTTAGGGGCGGGCCAAATTACCAACCGCCTTTAAAAATCGATTTTTAGATATGGCTGGTATTTCCTGCCGTCTCTAAAATACCTCTGTTTTTAGAGGCGGTAGGGATCTAGAAATATGATTTTTAGAGGCGGCTGGCCTTTCTAGCCGCCTCTAAAAATAAAGGGCATTTCTAGAGCTGTCTCTTAAAATCAATTTTTAGAGATGGGTTAGTTCGGAAACCATTTTTGGAGGTGATTTTATAGAGCCACCTCTACTAAAAAAATGGAGACGTGGCTAAAAATTATTTGTGTAGCAGTGATAGGTCCCTGTATTACTGGGACAATGTCGTTAACACGCAGAGATTACGAACCAAAATAAATAACACAGAGAGAAGAAGCGGATCATCAATGCAAGGCTCCGAGTACGACGAAGAACCTGCTGGTCGTGCCAGTGCTTTAGGATTTGGTGGACGAAGATAGATGGAAAGGAGGACTCAAATTGCATGGAGTGCTGTAGTTCTGCATCTCAGAGAAGAAACGGTAGAGGTGAAGAGAGATGCAGTACGAGGTGCTGTCCGTGAGCACCGCCGCCAGCCGGCACCTCCGCACATGCCGCCTTTGTCTGCGCATGAGTTCGTTGCTTCCTCGGCGTGGGGTCGGCGCGGAGGCCGACGAATGAAGCGGTACCTGGCCCGCGATGGCGCGCCGCTCTTGGATGATTTGGTGCTCGGTTGCGCGGGGCGGCGCGGCGCGGCCGACGCACGGGATCTGGAGGGAGGAGGCCAGGGGAGCGAAGCACCGAGTCAATCGCCTGCGACGGACTGGAAGTGAGCTTTGTTTCCTCGAGCACTACTTTTCAGCCCCGCGAAGAATCAAACGCCTGCCCGATTCTCTCTCTCCTTAGCTCTCGCAGCCAAGTACGATTTTTTGACGTGGACAACAATTTTGCCTGCTGGCTAAGCCTTACTGTACTTGCTCTAAAGAATACGGCGCTGCTAGCGCAGGACGCAGGCTCCCCGCACCTAGAGTCCACCTCCCGCGGCTTCTTCTCCGCGCCCAGCGTCCCCCTCCCCCCACCCCTTCCCCCACCGCTGCCATCTCCTCCAACTCTGGCGAGCTCAGCCATCGCCATCTCCAACTCCAGCGAAACTCCCCCGCCCCGACCTAGCCCAGCCGCCGCTACCGTCGCCAGGGCCCCTAAACCGCTCGGCCACCATCCCCACGCCCCGGCCTGCCTGCCTCCGCTCGGCCGGCCCCTTCTATACCCGCCGGAGTTGGAGAAGAAAGAGGGGAAGAGGCTCGCCGGAACCCTAGCCACCGCTGCCATCGTCTTCGTCTCTGGTGGGCTGAGATCCAGGAGGAGGAGGAGGAGGAACCGGCCTACCTCGTCGGAGCCGCCGCCACTGCTGCTGTCGTCTTTGTCTCCGCCGTCATCCTCGTCTTCGGGAGCAGGAGTAGGGTTGCCGGGGAGTGCGGGGTCGCCATGGAGCTAGCGGAGGGAGGGAGGGAGGGAGGGAGCAAGGGAGTACGGCGCGGAGGGAGCGGCGTCCGGACTCGGGACGCTCGAGTCCAAGCATTACCGTAAGGAATAAGCAGATGAGAGGGGAGGGGATGGATCGATCTATGGGGAAATTTGCTTTCATTGGGAGGAGGAATAATATTGAGAGCCGAGGAATTGATTTTTGCTTTGGTTGATTGAGGAGTCGGATCTTGATATCTAGGAGAGGGGCGTGAGGAAGGGATGGGGGAAGTTCTTGGCTTCATGTGAAAGAAACATGGGAACACGTTGAGCCGTGGATGGCTGGCACTGCCTTAATGGTACGTTGATGCTAATTGCAAATGCTAATTATCTTGCTATTACTAATGGGAGGCTCCAAACGAGCCTTCACGTTAAAAGTTCTCAAAATAATCAGAAATATTTAGCATTTAAATCGATACACTATAATCATCACTGCCAATAATAGCCATTGAATCTATTTTATTTTATAAGATCCCGTTTGGCACAGCTCCACTTCGCTAGTGAAGCCGTTTTTTTTTGCTTTAGCTCCATAAAAAGCTCTATTGATGGAGCTGGAGCCGTTTTGGTAAAACATTTGACAAAATAGCTCCACATGTTAAAACATGCTCTCACATAACCCCATACAGGACCCACTAGGACGAGGTGAAGCCCGGTGAAGTCACTATTTTTGCCTCCATCCGGCTTCTAACCTCTGTGAGAGCACGATTTAAGGGGCTTTCTCGGTGAAGCCGTTTTGTTATACCCTGTTTGACACAAAATGGCTCCAAACGGCTTCTGAAACCGGTGGAGACGAAGCCGTGCCAAACGGAGCCTAAAAATACCCACATATGCCATTATGAAAAATACATATAAGTAACCCCTAAATTTACAACTAAATTACCCACCTCTACCATTGTGAAAAATAGTTTCAAATAACCCCATAAATTTACGTCTAAATTACCGACATGTGCATTATAAAAGATTATTTAAAATAACCCCATAAATTAGCATTTAAACTATCCACCTTTACCATTATGAAAGATAATGCAAACTAATACTAAATTTACTTTTATTTTATCCATATATGTCATTAAGAAAGATAATATGAAGTAACACCTTTAATTATATCTAAATTACCCACCTTTGCTGTTATAAAAATTAAACTACAACATCCCTCAAGTCTACATACAAATACCAAAATAAGCTATTACGGAAAATAATTCAGTGACCATAAAGTACAGTATATATGTTTCTAAATTACACATTTTTACCACTACTAAATTAAAAGTAAGCATAATTCTATGTGCCCTCATGTAGACAAAGTAAACTTGCATAAATTAGGATAAATATTTATTTTAATAGTTTATCGAGCATGGCAAAATGTAACCTTAACAAACCATATACAATGACACCGACTATTTATGCCATTTGTAGTAATTGATGGTCTAATTTATTGTTTGCATTAGCCTTAGCTTGCATTAGACCTTATGTAGCACAACCCAAGCCCGCATAAATATAGTGTCTTGGTGTTTGGTTGTCTTGCACAGACAAGACGCGTTTGATACAATTGTACAATTGTGTTTGATTGTTTATATTTTGTTGCATGTAGTCACCTTCATATTCTAGTAAAGGTCTCATGTTTTTAGTAGAGGTAAGAGATGTGGGAATATTTTATTTTTGCTGTGCCCATTTGCTTGTAGAAATCTATATTGCCTAATACGACCAAATCTTGTGTACTAGCTAATGCTGCATTGGGCCTGTTTTGAAAGCATGCATAACAGCCTCTGCAGATAATCAAACATAGGCAAACTGCACCGGAGAAGGCTGGATACAGGCTAATGCAGGCAACCAATCATGCCCTATGAGTGTAGTCTAGGACATAGAATATTTTTAATAAAATATAGAAGAAAAATTATGGATAAAAAATACCATAAGCACTAGAGTTTCAACTTAACATATGGATAAAAAAAATACAACAACTAAAAAGAGCAAAAGTTAAAAGCCAGAATATAGGTTCATGATGTTACAGAAAGGATGCAACAAAAGGTTATATAACTTAAGCTTCGGTTTTACATAAATACATATCCAATACCTAGAAAGGTGCAATGCAAAGGATGACAACAGATATCTTAATATTACTAACTGGAAGTAAGTTTATTGCAAGGAAAGATACAAGAGCTCACTTGAACATTCGAAGATGATTCCGAAATCCTGAGGTAAAGCTTGACTCGACTGTAAGTCCCGACTACACTAATAACCTAACACATAACTATGAAG